AACCCTAAACCCGAAACCCTAAACCCTAAGCCCTAAGCCCTAAACCCTAAGCCCTAAGCCCTAAGCCCTAAGCCCTAAACCCCAAACCCCAAACCCTAGGCCCTAAACCCTCAACCCTAAACAAGGCCTAGTAGTATCATCTTTTTCCCTGCCGCAACTTTCGGATTCCGAGAAGATTCCGATGAAGAGATCCCATGGGGTTCCTACTTCGGGGCTCCTGTGGGAGTTCCTAGGTCCTTGTTTTATCAAACAAAACTACAGGTGGGGAGTTGAGGGTATATAGGGCTTCTATAAGGCTGTTTTATAAAAGGAAAGTACAGGTGGGGAGTTGAGGGTATATAGGGCTTCTATAAGGCTTCCGTAAGGTTTATAGACCTTCTATAAGGCTCATATAAGGGGAACTACCCACCTGAAAAGAGATATAGAGAGCGCAAAAAGGGTCTTAGGTGGCTTTTGGTGCCTGGGCTTTTGGGTGGTTCGGGTTTAAAGACCTTCGTAAATGGAGTCGGGCGTTGTCAGGCCTGCATATTTAGCATATGGGCAGGGTATCTTACAAAAATATGAACCATAAGTAACAGGAGCTGTAAGTGGATGCTAGTACTTATGATTTAAGACCCTATACCAAGTTTTAGGTTTCATCTCTTAGGAACCATAAATCCTAAATGGGCTTAGGGCTTTGCAAGAGTTTCGAGCGCAAGGTTTACAGGAAGTGCGTGACCCCGAATCGGATCGGCTGGATTGGTGCCTCTACCCATAGGCCCCATAATAGTTCCTTTTCGGGATTACCTAATAGGATCCTAAATATAAGCCAGAAAAAGGAACTACTATGGGGCCTATGGGTACTAGAGGGGCTTTATATTTGCACGTTGCGCGTTGGCGTTTAGTCTAGTGTATAGTTGCAGGGACTGTAAGGGGCACGATTACCATGACTCCAGTCTACAGTAGCCGCCCACCTCTATCTGTCTATCTATCAATCCAAAAGATCTATCTATCTGTCCATCCATCTATCTATCTGCTTATTTGGGGACACAGGCGGACAGACAGACAGACAGACCCTGTAAAATGACCTAAACTCTAAACCCCTAAACCCTAGACCCCTAAACCCCTCAACCGTAACCCCCTAAACCCCCAAACGACGAGCTCACGGCCTGGCGCGGGGGCTGGCGAGGACTCAGCCGCTTGCGGGCGCTGCAAACGTCGCTGAAGCTCCTGACAAACTTTTCGTGTGGGTTTAAGGGTGTAATGTAGGAGCCTGATTAACAAACCCTGGGCCTTTGTTGGGGGTTCTTAATAAGAACCCTTATGTATTGAGGTTATAGGGCCAGGGTTTCTTAATCAGGTTCCTACCGTAGGGCTTAGGGTTTATGGGACTTCAAGGGTCGATGGGGGCTTTAGGGTTTTAGGGTTTTAGGGTTTTCGGGTTTAGTGTTTAAGGGTTTAGGGCTTTAGGGTTTAGGGTTTGGGGTTTAGGGTTTGGGGTTTAGGGTTTAGGGTTTAGGGTTTAAGGGTTTAAGGGTTTAGGGCGTAGGGTTTGAGGGACTTGAAGTAGGGCTTAGGGTTTAAGGGACTTCAGAAAGGGCTTAGGGTTTATAGGACTTCAAGGGTTCAAAACGGTTTAGAGTTTGGAGTCTTGAGGCTTTTTGTGCTTTGTGGGTCGAGGGTTTCCGAGAATCAAGACGCTTTGCTGATGCTTCTGAAGGTTCTCCGAGCCTCTCTGGTGTACATAAAGTGGGCTTTGAAGTAACCAGGGAGAAAAAAGTGTAGACTGTTATTTCACAATGGTTCCTTTAAGGAACAGGTCCCCCAAAAAAGTCTTAAAGTATGGTACTCCAAAGCCCAGTAAGCGCCTCCCAAAAGTCAAAAGACTCTGTAGATACGGACGAACCGTCTTCGCGCCAAAGAATCCCAAACACATCACCGGTAGAGCTAGTTTTGCCAATGGGCGCTATGGACGCTGCGTGTACGTTTAAGGTTTTTGGCCATGCGCCGGCCAGGTACAGCAAGCGGCTGCATGCGATGCTCCAAGAGACCTCACACGATAGGCATGAACCAGCGGTTTAGGACTAGGATTGTGTCCTTGAATCGCAATAGAAATCCTTGCCGTAGCTTGTTGCCTGATTGGCAGCCGAAACCACAACCCTGTGGTATAACAGCCGTCTCCTGCTGCTCGGTCATGGCCTGTCAATGCAAACGATTCCCGAGCCCTTGAACCCTGCACCTAAACCTAAACTAGCCGCACTTCTTTGGCTGAAAAGCATCGACAACCATGAACCTACTTCCATCACATGTCATCAGAACCCTAAACCCTAAGGGGGGCTTAAACCCTAAAGTTTAGTCTCTTACACCACCATAACCCCCACGAGACCCCCACGACCACCACCGGCAACCCTAAACAAATGGAATCCTTTAGGGAGGGGGTTCTAGGGGGGGTATATAACCCTGTATTCTCCCTAGTACTCCCTTAGGTTACCGAAAAGCTCCCTAGGACCCTCCCCCCTTGAGCCACCCTCCCTTAAGGATCCTATAACATTCAAGCCCTTAGCCCTATGTACATCCTCCCTAAACCCTAAACCCTAAACCCTAAACCCTAAACCCTAAACCCTGACGCCCCAAAGAGCCCGAAGGCCGAACATGATCCTTTTCTGTTGCCCACCTTAATGAATAGAATAGGGCTTTTAGGGCTTAGGGTTTAGGGTTTAGGGTTTAGAATAGGGCTTTTAGGGCACGTTCTAGTGCGATGAAACAAAAAAGGCCCTAAACCCTAAAACTAGCTTTGTGTGCTTTGTCGACCCTGGAATGACACCCTAAAATCTTGAACGCTGGGCTTAGGATCCCATCCTTTTTTTGCACCTGCCAATTAAGTTTGCAGTGATTTCCAAGCGGAGTCATCCTCTTCGAGTACTCCCCGCGGAAGGCCAGACAGTCAAAGAGTTTGGATTTTAGTCCCTAAGCCCTAAACCCTAAACC